GGAAACAGATATCCTGTACAGCCTCCAAAAAGGAACAAAGACCTGATTTTAGCCTTTGATTTTAGCCAATGAGACCTGTGTTGGACTTCTTATTTTTGGAAGAAAATGAATATTTATTGAGCATCTACTATATGTCAAGCACTTTACATATATTTTTTCATTTAATCTTTACAACAACCCTCATTACTGCACAGCACTTGTATTTTTTTTAAAATCAATTCTGTTTTATTTTCTTGTAGTTATTTCAAAACAATCATACTTCTTAAACCTGTGGCCCCATCACTTCTGTTTCAATAGCTGTAGCTGGTTTTATCCCCTACTTTACAGTGAAAATGGAAGCCATAAGATGGAAATGCCTTCAACTTTTGACCACCAAACCTATAGATTTATTTTCATCCACATCCCTAAGCTTGGATCCCTTCCTCTGCCCACTCTACCCAGAGCAATAAAAATCCTGCTCAGGGACCTCTCTCCATACCCTTGAGATTTCTAATGCTGTTTTGGACTTCTAATTTATAGAACTGCAGGACAAAAATATGTGTTGTTTTAAGACACCAAGTTTGTGGTAATTTGTTATGGCAGCAATTGAAAACTAATACAGATGGTAAAGGGGTACAACCTGTCAGATAAAATTCAGCAATAGTGAGTAGATAAAGATATAGATAGATACATAAATAGACAGAGATTAATAGATATAAAGTTTGACGATTTGAAGCATATATCCACAAAATACTTATTAAGAAGGGGAAAAGGATAATTTTATTGTGAAGCCTGGCAAACACCACCTTAATCACATGACCGAAGTGATCATCATCAGAGATGAGACAAATTAAAATCACATATCATATGGGATGCAACATGTTGGGATGCTGCAAAACGAATACAGAGTCAATTCTGTGATATTCCTAACAAAGATGCGTAACTGAACTTACAAGAAAATATTAATTAACCCAAATTGAAGGACATGTCACTAAATAACTCACCTATGCTCTTTAAAAGTGTTAAGATTAAGAAAGTTAAGGAAAGACTGTGGAACTCTTCAAGATTGAAGGAAAATAAAGAGACACAGCAAATAAATGCAACATGTGACTTTGAATTAGATCCTTTTGCTATAAATTAAGACATGATTATAACAATTGGTGAAACTCAAATGAGGTCTGAATACTAGACAGCAATAATGTGTATTTAAAAATTAGTAATTTTAATTTTCCATTTTTAAGAGCTGTGCTGTGGTTATGTAAGAGAATTTGTTTCTAGAAAACACAGTAAAGTATTAGGAATAACAGGGCATCAGATTAGCAATTTACTCTGAAACAATCTAGGGGGAAAAAGTTGTACATGCAACTTTTCATTAAGCTGAGATTGTTTCAAAATGATAATCAATAAATAAATCGAATAAAAAAGAGGACAAACATGAAACACCAATGTCCTCCCAACAAAATGCCATTGTTTACATAAACTTATAAACCTTTTTTAAATATGTAATGTAGGAAATATATATCAAAATTTTCTAAATCCTTAAAATGTTTTATGTTTTATGGCCCAATAAATTTCTCTCTGGAAATCTGACAAAAGAAAATAATTCAAAACAAAAAAAAAATTTAATCTATACAGATGTTAATTTTTTAACCACTGAGGATTTCCATTAATGGGAAATTTGTGTTAACTATTAAACACATTAAAAAAAAAAAATTCTATGCCATTGAAAATAATACACAAAGAGTTTTGAATAAGAAAAAAATGCTCATGCTGCAACAACTAAAAAGAACATTTTAGAAATATCATCAAAATTACAAATGCACATTCCTTTTCACCCAGTAATTTCAGTGCTAGGGTTTTATCCTATGGATTTACACATATGTATGCAAAATAACCTATGTTCAAAGTTTTCACCACTGAACTGTTTGTAATAACAAATGATTATAAACAACATAAATGACCATCAAGAGGAGTGAGTTAGAAAAACTGTGGTACATCTACAAAATGGAATATTCTGCATTTGTAAAAAAGTAATAGGAGGTTCTTAATGTGCTACTGCAGAAGTCTCGCCACAATATTAAGTGAAAAGAGCAAGATGCACAACATGCTTAAAATACTCTAAAAGTAGTAAAAGCAGGCAAAAAAATACGTATATATAGGTATATATAGATATAGATAAAATTTTGCTTATGTACTCATACTGGAAGGACATACAAGAAAAGATAGCATTCATTGCCAAGGAAGGTAACTTGGTAAGTGAAAGAGACTTTACCATATACCCTTGTATGCCTTTTGCATTTTATACCACATGATTGTATGCCCTTTTTCTTAAATAATTAAGCTTAAAGTTTAAAATTTAATAAATAGTTCACAGAAAAACCTAAAGAAATAGACCAACTCGAGTAATTTCTCTTTTCTTTGCATATTTTATTGTTTTCCAAATTTTTCACTGATCATGTATTATTTAATCAGAAAATTAATTTTTACCTTAAAAATTGACATGATAACCTAGAAAATGTAGTTAAACATGTATACAATCATAGCTAAAATATGATACGTAAGAAAACTTTTTAAATTCTCATTTTCTATGATCATTAGTACATATTATATGAAAAATTTAAAGCAGAAACTTAAAATACTCTAATCTTTCACAAAGCATACTGTTATGTCAAATTCATTTTTCCATTTTATTCTTCATTTTTAAAGATTTGTTTTACTAAATGGCTCAGAATCATAGACAATGCTAAGAAACAACGTCTATTTTATTTTTAAAAAGCCTTAAAATAACCAATGATGCTATTTTCCCTTTTTCTCTCTCTGTTGTTTATGAATTTGGGTTCTAAACAAATATCTATTTTATATGAGTAATAGAATGTGCGAGTTTAGGTAGTAACTCAGATAGAGGTCAACTATGCAGACAGAGCAGTTCCTGTTCCAACTCCAACTTCAACGAGGCAATTTGGGGGGCCCATATAGAGTCTTAGCCTCACAGCCTAAGAAAACAGCCTGGCCACTTGGAGCCAAGGTCACCAATGAGTCATATCCCAATTACTAATAAAGCAAACAAACAAACAAACAAAAATGAGAGAAAGGAAGAGTAGGCCTGGGAAGAGATTAGAAAAGCTGCAGAGGAAAGAAGACAAACTGGATGAAGCAGAAATCTCTTCAGACACCTCAGATCAGCTGAATTCAGAGAGTTCCATATCTGTGTATATATTTGGAAATACTACTAGACTGTGAAGGGGTACAGCCCCATTCTACAGAAAGAAATCAGTCCTCTTTCTAAAAACTGCTATCTGATATTATTTGAGTATGCCACTATTTGAGTATCTGAGAGTAAGTGGCATGGCCAAGAACTGAAACCAGGTCTAGACTCTTAATCGAAATGCTATATTGTCTCTATCCCAACAAATTAAGCATTCATCTTATGGGAAGTCTTTACTGAAATAGGCCCAAACTTAATTTCAACTCTGTTAGACAAGCGTATAAAGATATTTTAGATTATGATAGTCACAAAGATGCTGAGAGAAACATTGCTTATTAGCTTACAGCATGTTATAACAAGAGTGCTACCTTTCCTAGAAATGTGATGACTATCATCTAAAGTAGCAGCGATGGGGGTCGGGGGGGGGGGGGTTGGGACAGATGAACCTACATCACTCTATGAATCTTCACATAGATACATCTGCCTCTAAGAGCACAGGAGAAAAATTTTGCTTCTATAAACACTTCAAAATTTGCCTGTCTGCCAAATGCCTTTATAACCTTGTATAGTGCATTGAATTATGTCCCCCCAAAACTCCCTTAAGCTTGAAGTGTGTCCCCCAAGTTTTATGCATTAGAAACTTAGCCCCCACTGTGACTGTTAAGAGGGTGGGAAATCCTATTATGGTAATTGAAAGGCGGGGCCTTGAAGAGGTGATTGGATTGTAGGACCATGCCATAGTGAATGGATTAATAATGGTGGTCAGGGGTGTGATCTGGAGGACTTTACAAGGAGAGTGCATGAGGAGGTTAGCTCTCTCTCTCTGCTCTTTCCCTGTTCTCTCTGCTTCCACCATCTCGCAGTGTGAGACCCCTGGATCACTGTCATCGTCACAAGATAGACTCTGGACTTCTCAGCCTCAGAAAATGTAAGCAATAAATTTTGTTTTCTTATAAATCACCCAGTTCCATGTATTTTGTTATAAGCAAGAGAAATGGAATAATACAACTTGCAAATTAATAGACAAGTTTATATTTCGTCTTTTTTCATCAATAAAAGGGAGATGTGTGTACAGCTCTGAAATTCCTTTTAAAGTGATACCACAATGTAATGCATTTAGAAAGTCAAGGGTGGAACTCTGAAAAGACATTCAGTAAGCTTAAGATCTCAAAATGTCACAAAAATAACTTAAGACTACATTATATCAAAAACACTCCCAAGTTAGAGTTTATATAAAATGATTCTTTAGAGTGATGTGCTTTATACTGAGGTATCCCTATAACATCAACTCCCAATTTTCTGTGCCACAAGAGCCCAAATAACAGCTCATTTGAAACTGAGTTAAATTTTATTTTAAAAAGTACTTTATAATTACACAGAAATATAGATATTTCTGGTAATTCATAGTACTACTACATACTATGTTTTATTATTATGTTTAAACATTTGACTTTGGTGAAACTTTCTGTTTAATTTTTTACTTGCTACTTAATTCTAAAGCAGAACTGGCTACTACAACTTACTAATCTTCCTTTTTTTAAGAGCAACGAAGTAATTATTTTTCTTGGTTATTTTTACATTTTATACTGCTTAAACCTGTTTAACCAGTCAGCAAATATTCATGGATCAGTAACTAAGGACCAAGCACTACTTAAGTCAAAAAGTATTTGGATATGAGGAAAATCAGTGGTTAAATCCATTGGGAATACTTAAAAGGAGCTGATGCTATCAAAATGGGACTGGAAAAATTATTAACAGTAACTCAAAAATTGTTATTAAAATAACTAGTGACTTCCTGGTATTTTTAAAGACTCACCTGTAGCAGACAGGAACTGCCTGGATCTAATAAGCTTATGGCTTCATTCTGCATTGTGTTCTGTTGTGTAATTGCATCTTCTCGTTTCCGCTCTTTCTGCCCTGCTTCATCATCTTCATACTCATCTAAGCACTGAAAGAAAGAATAATTTCCATTTTATTACCATATACAATTACTAGAATGTTTTGACATATTTGATTATTAAAGAAATATCTGCGCATTCAGAATTTAGCTTACACAATAAAAGTGTTTTTTTCAGCAATATGTATATTTAATTCCTACAAATAAAATTATCTGCTAAAACTAAAACCTCCACATTAACACCTGATATAGTTTGGATATGTTTATCCCCCAAAGCTCAGGTTGAAATTTGATCCCTAATTTGGCAGTGTTGGAAGGTATTTGGGTCATAGTGGTGGATCCCTCATGAATAGATTTATACTTTTCCTAGGTGGGGGATAGTAAGATCTCTTGTTTCCTCACCATGTGATCTCCTTGCATCTGCTGGCTACCCTGCCATTTTCTGCTATGAGGAAAAGCCACCTGAGGCCCATGCCAGAAGCAGCTGTCCCAGAATTGTGAGCCAAATAAACCTCTTTTCTTTAAAAATTACCCAGTCTTGGGTATTGTTATAGCAACACAAAAATGGACTAATGCAACACCCTGCCAGCATATCTTTTCTCTAAGCCCTAACTATCAGTGACAGGGTTTTCTTAAAGAAAGGGCGCATTCATTCTTTACCATTCATTCAACAAGAAGACCAACTGTATCTACATTAAAAACAAGGCACTTTGTAGAGGGTAACAAAAGATGTACTACAGACATGGAATTCATAGTCCAATGGGACAGACAAGACAGACAGATAGATAAGACAGACATACAGACAGACAACTCGGTGGTAAAGGCCATTTTCTAACTTAGTACTATCTATGAGAATATAAAGAAAGAGTATTTCACCTGGACTGTTAGGAAAGATTATAGAAAACCTTCTAATTTAAAGAATGGGTATAATTTGGAACTGCAGATATGGAAAAAGAATTTCAGATGTTGAGAACAATATTTTGAAAAAGCTTACGAGAGAGTTGCTAAAAAGCTGAATCAACATCAGCAATCATCTATCTTCAGACTTTTTATGTGGATTAAAAAAAACAAACAAATCTCTACCATTATAGCCACAACAGGATGTGTTATGTTTTCCTTGCATTTGAACACATTCCTAACCAATACACTGCCCTAAAAGGTTCTGTAACAGACAAAAAGAAAAGTTTCTGCAGGCACTGCACAGGTAGACACTAAGACACTGACCAAAGCACAGTATGACAGGGAAAACAACAGGACTTACAAATCATGCATAGAGAAGAAAACACTGAGGATACTGTGCAAACAAGAAGGGTCATATGAGTATCTGAGTATCTGGAGATAGGAGGAACATGGTGCAGGGGATGCTAGTTTGATGAGTAGAATATTCAAAGACAATGGCTACAATGGGGGATAAGGAAGAAAGTAGCTGTCTGAGATGGAGTCGTACTTCAAGAAGATGTGGAGAGGAAGTCTGGAATGGAAAGGGCAAATTAAAGGAACAAGCAGGCTGAGATTCCAGAAAATGATCAGGGTCCTCTTCTGAAATGAAACAGACTGCTTATACAGATGTCACCTGGTCCTTGTCACATCAAGCTGTGGGAACCGGGGCCTGGGGAAACAGTACAAGAAAAATTATGATACTGTGGCTACTACTATTGCTGTTAAATCTAAACTGATAATAAAAAAAATAAAATAAAATAAATTGTTATTGACTCTAAACCAGGAGACTAGCGTCTTCGATCAGGATACACAGGCTAACATTGTTAGCTTGCAGGCAGAGTAAGGTCTCACAGCCTTCACAGTTCTTAAAAGAGGTGAGAAATGGGAAGACAACTGCTCTGATCACCAAGGAACATAAATAATGAATAGTCTGAGAAGTTCAGACTTTTGACTACAGAGCATGGAAAGATGTTACAGTGCTGCAATTCCTTGGAATATAAGAAGAACATGATCAAAACTGTTTTGAGGAAAAGAACCTGAGTATAGCAATCCAAAGTAGGGATTAACAGAAAAAAAGTATCAAAAGTGGAAAGACTTGTTAAAAAAACACAGTAGGCAATTTGATCCTATGAAAAATGATATATTCTAGGTGGAAAACAGAATCAATAAGAGAAATCTAGTACAGGGTACAAAAGAGTTAAGAAATTAGTCCTGATAAGAATCTCTCTTCTGACTTTTTAAAAAAGCTTTCTCAAACCAATAGATAGTATCATGCTTAATGACAAAATACTAATGAAATTTAAAAGTAAAATCAGACTCAAGACATTGATGTTCACTATCAACACAACTGTTAACATCCTTCTGGAAGTGCTAGCTGATAAAATTAGGTAAGAAGAATAAGAATTAGAAAGGAGGCAAAATTACCATCATTTTAGATGATATGATTTTGTAAAAAAGAAAATGACAGTTTCTTAAAATGTTTTTCTCAGTAAGTATGCAAAAATAAATAGCTACCCAAAGTAATATCAATGGCCTGTTAGAAAAATGTTAATATCATAAAAATGAACTGAAAAAACAAATACCTATATATATATATACATACATACATATATATATACACACACACACATATATATATATATACACTATAAAACTTTAGTGAGCAGTACAAATTGAAACCTATTCTTAAACTGAGAAAAACCAAATATCGTGAGGGTATCCATAATCTGTAAATCAATGTATAAGCTGAATTAAAATTCCAACCAAATCCTAATAAAAAATTTTTTTAAAGAGTTCCAACAGAACACTCACTCTGGTTAGCATTAAAATGTATAAAACCACAATAATAAAGACTATATGATAGAAGTCCTAAAACAAAAAAGAGAATAAAATAGCACTGAAAACTTTTTTTTTTAATTTTTAATTGATGCATAATAATTACACATACTTCTGGGGTAATGTGTGATATTTTGATATGTGTATACAACGTGTAATGATCAAATTAGGTCAATCAACATATCCGTCATCTCAATTTATCATTTCTTTGTGTTGGAAACATTTGAAATCCTCTGTCCTAGCTCATTGAAAGTATACAATACATTGTTGTTAATTATAACCACCCTTCAAGTCCTACAAACACTAGATCTTATTCTTTCTATCTAAGCTGTAATTTTGTATCCATTAACCAACTTTTCCCTATCCCTTCTCCCCTCTACCATTCTCAGCCCCTGGTAACCACCATTCTACTATCTACTTCTACGAGACCAATTTTCTTAGTAAAAAGCATTTTGAATCAAGGAGTTCCTCAATATATAGTACTGAGACAAGAAATCAATCATTTAATGCATAGTGGAAGCTAAGAAGCAACAGTATAAGATCTGGAAAGAATAAAGAGTGGTCTCATCTGTAGCCTTCTTCTCTGTGAAAGCAATCATCCCTCATTTTCCAACACCTGGACTACAAAAGTCCTTTACCATAGGATCCAATGTCAGAAGCTTAAAGTTAGAATTCTTAAAGCATAGAGTAATATAGATAGAAAGTAAAGTTGAGGCAGGTCGCCATGAACTCCCTGAACATTGTGATATTATTTATCTTTGTTTCCATTTTCTGAGATACAGTCCCTCAACACTAACCTTCCCTCTTCCTACTCTCTCAATAAAACAAAACAAAACAAACAAATGAAAAAAATCTAAGTGTTTGAAAAATGAATGAATAAGTTACCAAGATAAGACAAATTAGGGAGATGGACTGCGGTGCCCCAAGTTAAAATTCTGAATGCTCTAACCCACAGCAACACTGTTATCCACTAACATGGGAACCTATTCATCACACACCCTAAAAAGAACTTTTTAAAGAACTGAATTCAAAAACTTACACTACTTGATTTCAATACCTATGAAGCTACAACAATCAAGACAGTGTGCTATTGGCATAAAGGTAGGCATACAGATCAATGGAACACACTAGAGTCCAGAAATAGACCTACACATGTACAGTTGATTAATTTTGGACAAAGGTGTCATGAAAATTCCACTGGAAAAAGATGATCTTTTCAACAAATGGTGTACAACCCTCCCCTCAACCAAAAAGAAAAAGTTAACTTCAATCCTTTACCTCACATGAGTTACAAAACCTACCTCAAAATGTGCTACAGACCTAAGCATATGTGCTAAAAGTAATACTTCTAATAAAAAATGAAAAAACAGCATGGCTTTGAGTTAGGTGAAGATTTTCTTTCATAAAGGAAAAAATCGATACATTTAGACTTTATCAAAATTAAAAATTTTGTTCATTGTTAAAAAAAAAAGAAAAGGCAAGCCACAAACTGGGAGAAAATATTTGCAAAAAACATACCTGATAATGGATTTTTATTCGAAATACATAATGAGCTCTTATAACTCAGCAAGAAGAAAACAAACAACCCAATTTAAAATAACCAAAAATTTGACCAGACATGCCACCAAAAAAATCTAGGGATGGCAAATAAACACATGAAAAGAGGCTCAACATCATAAGTCATTAGGAAAAGGCAAATTAAAACCATAATGAGCTATCACTACACACCTACCAGAATGACTAAAATTAAAAACTGACAATATCAAGTGTTAATGAGCAAAAAATCTCATATATTGTGATGAAACTCAAAATGGTGTGACCATGTAGGAAAATATTTTGGCAGTTTCTTATAAACTTAATATACACTTGCCATATGACCCAGGAATTCCACTCCCAGTTACTTACCAAGAGAAATAAAAATATATTCACCCAAAACTTGTACAAAAACTCATATAAAAATTCAGCTTTAGTCGTAATGGCCAAAAGCTGGAAACAACCCAAATGTCCATCAACTTGTGAATGAATAAAAAAATAGCAGTAAATCTTTGTAGAGGAATACTACTACTCAGCAACAAAACAAATGAATCTGAAAAGCATTATGCCAAGTGAAATACCCTAGAAAATGACAAATACATACTGTATGTTCCCATTTATATAAAATTCTAGAAAAAGCAAAATCATAGTGACAGGAAACAGATCAATAGTTGCCAGGAGCTGAGTGTGGGGAAGAGAGCTGACTGAAAGGGGGCAGGAGTAATGGAAATGTTCTACATCCT